GGGTATTTGCGCTTGTTGTAATCGGACGTGATTTTTAAGGAAGCGCAAGTTTTTTAAATGTTTTTTTTTAAAGTACATTGAATGAAGTCCATGCAAAAGAACTTTACCCACCGAGTATGTGTGTGTCCGGTCGGTCAGAGAAGCACTCACGAATACGTACCTTTTAGCTACACGATGTATTCTATTTTTTAGTTACGGAAACCGTTGAGTGTACTCATCTCTTGGGCTCTGGATCAGCACTTACAACCTGATTGGGTTTTCTTTCCCTGTGAAGCAGACCTCTTCCTTCTCTCCCTACCACCTGGTTCTTACCATTACCAGAGAGCTGACAGGCTCCATTTTTTTTGTAGTCACCTTGTTTGCCTGATTGTGTTACGGCTCCATTGGATTAATTTAGACTGTGCTTTTAGCAACATTATTTCGGCTTTTATCTTAGTCCTCTGGCGGTTCTGTTGATCTGATGCCTTCCCTGGCACTTGCTCCTACATCTGATTCTCTTCCACTCCACTGTCTATGCATAACACACTGAAGTACAAAATGTGCTTGTATTGGTATATGGCAATGGCTGAGAGAATAACGAAGGACTGGCAAGTCTAATCGACTTTGTTTTTTTCTTAACCGCTTCAGAAAAAATTAAATATCACGCTCACTTTTTTTTACGTGCACACTTTTTAAAAGCTCCGTATGATCTTAGACGGACTTGTCGCATAAAATTAAATGTGTTCACCTCTCTTAACACCACCAGAGCGGATAAATGCCATGAGCTAAAGTGAATCCAGTCTTCTTTTTTCAGCCGGCAATAAAACAGACTCGGTCATGATCGTTCCTTTCGATGACCGACACGATACCCCTCCCTTCCCATGACGAATGTTTTTATATCCCAGACCCATAAAACCCATCTGCCGTGACTTACGTGGGGCTCGCTGCCTGACCTCGTCCACTGCATAGATTCTATATATATATGGGACCCCAGAACACTTGGACGTTCACGCTACATTTGCACCTGTCTTCATTGCCGAACCTTGTTCAGGTTTAAGGACAAAATTACTCGCTCGTCTACTTCTAGCGGAGAGATAGATAAACCTGTCTCCTTCCTTCCTTTGTTGGACAGTGGTCATTATTGTCATCTGTCTTCGCAGCCTCCAACGTACTTTTTATTCTTCAGATTTGTTGGAATTATCATAGTGAAGTCACTGTATAAAACTCTTGGACATGCAAACTTCTACATGATTGAAACGGATTTATTAGAACAGCATATCTCTGCTCGAAGTCCTACAGTTGTGATATTTAATGTTACGTGGAGACCAACTTTTAGTTTCCTTCATGGACAATGTGTTCTTGGAAACTACAGAAAAGTACAACACATGTATTAGATCTTTAAACGTTAGTGAAGCCTGTGATTAAGTGACCCCTTTTAGCCTAGGCGTGACGCACAGTATCATGTCATATTTTTCTTCGTACAGTCGTGTGCCTCGATCTGCATGTGCGCTTTCAGAGATACCTGAAGTCCCAGCTCGCTACAAGAAAGGTGATTTTAATCCGAAGGATTTAAGAGCGTAGTAGCGCTTGAAGACGTGTATGTGTAGCTATCCTTGGGTATTTCTTTACTTCGGCTTTTGGTTCTTGGGTTTGTGAGCAGCTTCATATCATTGTCTGCTTCTTCTGCTTTGTATTGTTTTCAACGTACTCGGAGTTTATGCTGGGAATAGTTCCCTTTTGAAAAATATTAGGGCAAATTCTTGTTGTTGAAAATCGAATGTTACCAGAAAGCTATTCAAATTCGAACGCGTCTTTATTTTCCTAACATTCCTTTTCATAATACAACTGGTATCTACAGTTTTGTAGTGACCCCGCCTTCGCACCTGAATAAAAGATAATTGTTTGTTTGTTTTAAATTGTGCAGCATTGATACTTTTTTTCAATTGTTTTTGTTGTTCAAGTTCTGTTGTTGACTTTTACAATTGAACATTCCTTACAATACAAACGACTCTATGAAAAGGGAAATTCGACCCCTAACTTACATGTATGTTTAGGTGCATGTCATTCACTCCCTATACATATTTTTTCCACTTTTTTCTCTCATGGTGTGTATTGAATTTCAACCGAATCTCCTTGTTCGATCATTCGTCCTGCTTGGCCTGTTTTGGTTCACGCGACCTGTTCCGCTATATATATAATCACCGGCTAGGAATTCTGTTAAAGAATGGATTCGAAAAAAAAAACCCTAAGAATTGGCTCCCTCTGGCCATAGCTGCGCTGAGCCCCTGTTGCGTCCATATAACGTCAGTGCACGCCCGTCCTAATGCGATTTCCTCAGCGGCAGGGATCAATACGTCATACTGGGAAGACACAATGCAATCAGCTGGCCAAATCTCAATTTGGGAGCGTCTGGTACCGCGAAAAAGGGCCGTAAACAGCAGACCCTTGGCGAAGATGATGTCTGAGGTGAAGAAGAACTCGGTTTGAAAACGGAGCTATTCTTGTTGCGTGAGGAAAAAGAGAGAAAGGCTTAAGGGCGAAAGATTTTTTATTGATGTAAGGTGGACACGTTTTTATTAAGTCCCATTTCTTCGACTGCTTCCCAAACGTAGAGCTTATTTATGATGCGATGGCATTGAGGAGGAATATTGAATTTGTATTTTTATTATGCTGTGAATTTGTGACAAAACTCTACCCATCAGCATGTGATTACGACGTCACTTTGTGGTCTTATCTTTGGGAAACTTTCGACTTCAGTACACAATGGCAAACTATATTCGATATTGTTTCAACTCACCATAAGCTCTTTTGCTGCGCAGCATTTTGGACACGTTGAAGGGTATACCAAGTGGAATTCAACCACCTCAAACGATCCAGACTTTTTCTTTTCTTTTTTAAGAATGAGCTCTGCCATGTTTGTAACTACCCCTACCTTGTCGATAAGGTTCATGTTGGCAACTTAGGCTAATGTTCTGAAAGATGCCACAAATCGGAAACCCCGCCCCGAGGCTTTACTGTGGTTACCAGTGACCTTTACTTTTGTATAGACTTTCCGTAAACTGACTCCCATAGGCAACTCTATTTTTTGTATTTCAATGTCAGTTTAAGTGACGCCAACGGTCTGTTCAGTTTTTATTACTTTCGGTACAGATAGTTGTTTGTTTCCCAGAGTTTCCTTGCCAGGAGTATATTATTTATTGTCTTTGACTTCCAGCTCTAATATCCGTCGAAGATGAAAATCAAAATGTACACGATATGACAGACCATAATACATAATCCAAAGAGACTTCACTTTCTTTAGGAAAAAAAAGGTCATTACATCAATAATAATCTGTTATTATTGCAATTGGTTGTGTCTTAACAACTTCATTGTTAGTATCCATCTACATTTGTACAGAGAAGATAACGTGTTCGGTGAAGAGAGATTTTCAACAAAGCCATAGTATTGTTCCTCTAACTTAAGAATATATAACAGCAAAAGTTGTTATTCCATCTTTTAAATCGTCCCCCATAAACTAGCCAGTCAAATAGCATAGAACCAGATCGGAAGAATCCAAGCAAGTACATTCGTCTACTCAGAAGTGATGGGGTTAAGTTGGGTTAAGTCCACTGTATCAAAAAATGAAATCAGGAATATCACCCAACACCAATTAACTTGGATGTACAAACAAGCGTGCGTATTGACCAGGTGTTCCCACCTATGTGGACCACGTGACTGTACTGACCACCCGCTGTTGTTGTTGTTTCCCCCTACAGATGAGAACGAGGACACGCGGGGAACGTACAACGGCTCGGTCATGTCGGAGGCGGAGAAACAGAGGCGTCGGAACCTCATCTTTGACGAGGAGCGCTTCGAGGAGACCTTCCTCAAATGTCTCATTTGCAGAGAGGTCTATAATGAGGTAGGTCTTTTGATTGTTTGATTTGCTCAGAGAGATAGATGGGGT